TAATTCCATTTGGAAAACATGAAAAAAGTAAAGAGATAAGTGGCAAACTAATATAAACACATTCAATAATTCAGAAGACTCTTTGTATTGAATTGCAATGTGAAATCAGTAACAGTATTGTCTAATGTGACTATCTTTGCCAGGTCTTCTACTTCTTCCTCTTTCTCTATCTTTTTGCCCTTATTATCTCCTTCATCTTTTGTTTTCGTTGTTTTCATTTACCCATCAATAGATGCTTAAGTTGCTCCTACCTTTTGGTACTGTAAATAACACTGCTGTGAACACACTTTGTAGTTTGGGGGAGATAAATAATGAACTTTTTTAAATGTAAAGAGCAGTACAACATAATAAAAACAAAAAACAATGTAAACAACTATAAAAATAAATGTCCCTTCCCCAGAGCTAACAACTGTCATAGAAACTTTCTATGCATGTATGTATGCTTATGACTTAACATAGGCAAAGTATTTCATTTCACCTCATAGAGGTGAGTCCTCATTTTCCCCCTTAATGTGTACTGCTTATTTATCAAGCCTACTATTGATAGACACTTAGATTGTTAGAATCTTTTATATGATGCAATAAACAATCTACCATCTTTGTGGATTATTACAATCTTTTATATGATGCAATAAACAATCTACCATCTTTGTGGATTATTACAATCTTTTATATGATGCAATAAACAATCTACCATCTTTGTTCACGTATGTAGGTATGAAAAATCCCTACATATAGAAGAGCTGGACAAAGACCAACAAACTGCCTTTCTCAGCAACAATGTTTAAGAATGCTTGATCCGTTACACTTGGGCACTTTTTATAACTATGCAAACCATATTTTCTTTCTTTCTTTTTATTTACACATACAAGAACTGGGCACAGGCCAGAGGTGCAGGGGTAAGAGATTTCAACAGACTGGGGAACTGAACAGGCAGATGCACTGAAACACATTGCTGAGGGGACCAGCAGGAGAGACAGGAGAGGTCTGCTGTGTCCTGTGGGGCACAGCTCCCTGACCAGGGATTAAACTTGTGCTGCAGTGGCTGTGGAGAGCTTCAGAGTGCTGCCCTTTGACTCATTACACCACCAGCTAGGGCCTAAGCCACTTGTTCTTTGAGGCCAGACTACTGCCCATGCCTTTTGTGAGAAGCATTCCCTTTGTAGCTGTTCCTAAGGGAGGCTGCCACATGGGGCTTTATTTTAGAAGACCTCTGTGGTGCTGCTGGAAGCCACCAGCTCCTGCCTGGGGGGCTCAGTCCAAGGACCCTGATTCCAGACAACCCAGATATTAAAAGAAGCACTTGCTTGAAAAGGAAAATATCTTACAATGAGGATTTTTAAAATCCTGAAACAAGGTCATTATCTGTGAGTTTTAAAGAAAATGCCTATAATACATATTTAATATATGTTAAGTGCAACAACAATAATAGTAATAACATTTTAAATGAATGTCTAAAATTCAGTAAGAAAATTCTCAAAAATTAGGTTAAAATGGTTAATTTCTAAAGAGGAAACAAATAATATATAAAAATATTAAAAATCACAACCAATTAAAGAATAAAGATTAAAACAATATAACACTTCATTTGTGTCTGTCATATTAAAAATATTACAAATATGGATAATATTCAGGAGTGCTGAGGATGAGATAATCTCCATGCACATACTAGTGAAGGAAATGGAAGCTGGCATAAACATTGTGGGAGGAATTTAAGGAACCTATCAATAATTTAAACACATAAAAATACCCTCAGAGCATTTTTGCTTTTAGGAATCTAGCCAATGTAAGCACTCAAATAACTGTTGAAGGACTTCATACACACACGTATGTATGTGTGTATGTGTGCATGTATTTATGTATGTGTACATATATGTGTGTATACATATCATGCTGTAGTGAACATCTTTGTGTACATACTGCAGCATGATTTGTAATAGCAAAAGAGAATTATCTTCCTCAAAAAAAACCAAAAAACTAAATATAATCTAAATCTTCAGCAGTGTAGGAATAAACACTTGTTATATACTGATAGAGAACTATACAGCTATTAAAAATAATGCATTAAACCTACATGTTTTGACATAGAAAAATATTCCTGATATTATCATTGAATAAAAAGGCAGAAAAATATTTCCTATGTCATCATCAGTACATATAAAACATACAAACATGGTCTATGCAAACACACAGATTACCTATTTGTGCACATAAAAAAATTAAAGTATACAGACAATATTATTTCTGCTACCTTTAGAGTTGGGATAAAGAAAAGAAAAACTTTAATAGAGTATTTTATATATTTATGAACTACTAGATTTGTTTTTTTTACAATGAACATATTAGAATAAAAAATCTAACCTAATAGCTTTTGTAATTATTAATAAAATAAAACATTAAGTCACTAATGTAACAAACACAAATGTAGATGCTGATAAACAACTGAAGTGATAATTAGGATTCATGTGTAAGAGAGAGGGAGAGAGAGAGAGGAACAGAAACAGACAGGACAGAGAGAAGAGAAAAAAAAAACAAGAATTTCAGACAGAAACAGGTTAGATGAAAAATATATATAAGTGGTTGTAGTTACAGCCTAGAACACTGCTTTACACCTTATTCATTTTCAGCTAATTAAATCATGCTATATGAGGCGATGTGTTTAAACTAATAAATAAATTAGTTATTAAACTAGTTGATGCCCGACATCTGTACTGGTACTCAGATTTATTTTTCTGTAGTCCACACATTAGTAGTAAAGCTTTCGGAGTGGTAAAATGTTTTGGTGCCTGTATAGTATATGTTCCACACAGACACACACACCTTACATCCTGGAAAGAGAACCCACTCTCGGGTATTATTGATAGGAGACTATAGAAAGTAAAGAGCTATAATCAAGTGATAGTTAAAGTAAATAATACCTCCATACATGGCTTTAATCCTATATTAAATTTCTAGATACATATTGCATGTCATGAGAAATTACATACTACAGCCATACTTGAGGAGTTGGTATTCGGTAATATCTGGGAGAACATCAAGCATCCATCATATTGACCCTTGCACATATACTTGCAAACTCTTCCTTTACAGATAATTCATAATAATGGCTAGCATGGAGTATATATTCTAAATTTTTGTACCACAATTTAAATATTTTACCATTACGGATAATGTGCCCCATACCTCAAATTTTGCCACGTCATAGTGAGAAGGCAAAGTATCTCCAAATTTACCAATCACCTCTAGAACATAAAAAATATCAACCTTTTTACAGATTAAGGATTTTATTAATCCATATCTAATTTAAAAGCAAGCATTCATCTATTGGCTATTGTTTTGGGAGAGAATTTTCCTATTTACCTCCAAAATGTAAGCTTGAAGAATTTCAAAGCATTTTATAAATTTACAAAGCATTTTACATGGGAAAGTGGACATGTAGAGCTATGAACATCCTTTAAAGAATTCAAGATAATTCTAAAATTGCATCTCTGAACATTTACTCCTGTCCAGGTATTACTTCTATTCCGGGTCAGGGATGGGGAGCAGGAGGGAGAAAGGTCTGGCCATTTTAAAAAGCTCCCTGATCTCAGAGGTTAGTGGAAACACTGAAGTTTCAATCCCACCTACTTTTATGTAGCACAAGACACACTTATTGGGGGAGGAGAGGCAGACAGAGTCATAAAATTTTTTAGATTGTTTATGAATTAATAACAGTAAATGCTTTTTAAAAGTTGCCTTTTGGGGAACAGATGCAAAAAAAATTAGTTAATCTTTCCTAAAATTGCTTGGTTTTATAAAATTGTTTAATCACAACTTCTTTTTAAAGAAATCAAATGGTCAACAAATAAACAAATAAAATACATTGTTAAAACTTAATTTTTTTTAAATATCCAAGGTTGAAAAGGGGACATCGGAACCCTCATACATTATTAGTGGTTGTGTAAATTGTTTAAACTTTCCAAAGGGTAACTTGATATTATGTCACAAAAGCCTTAAAAGAAATTCATACCTTTTGACCCAGCAATTCCATTTCAAGGAATTTATCCAAGGAATTATTCATAGATGTGTGCAATAATATAGCTAAAAGGAGATTCATAACAGCATTGATTACAACTCCAGATTGGAAATAAATCATGAATAATAAGTAACTAAATAAAACTACATGAAAAATCAAATACTATATTGTCATTAAAAAATACCTGGTATGGTCAAAGATTATTTTTAAAATTTAAGTCATATTTTGTCTAATCAAAAATCTCCAGTGGCTTTGCAAGTCATTTGGGAAAAAAATCTAAAACCTTATGATGACCTAGAAGGCCATACTTGGTGTGGGTTCCTGCTCCCTCTCTGACCTCATGGAGGCTCATGCTGCCTTTTTCATTCAACTCTTCTGCCCTCATTTGCTCATACCAAGCAATTTCAGTTTCAGGACATTTGCACTTGCTGTTCCACCTCACCCTGGAGCGCTTGTCCTTTCATTGCCTCTATAGAGCCTACATGTTCACTTCCAGAGAGGACATCCTGTCAATCTATGTTCTTGGGTGCCTCATTTTTCTTCACAGCATTCATCATCACCTGATAAATCACACAATTACTTTCTAGTCTGTCTCATTTCATTATGATGTAAATTCTCTAAGAACAGGGCTTTGTTTTATATACTGCTACATTTCTAGTGCCTGGAACAGAGCCTGGTTTACAATAGGCATTCAGGAAATGCATTGAATGAATTTATTGAATGAATGAATGAAAAATAACCTGTAGGCATTAAGTAAAAAAACAGACAAATGCAAAACAAATTGTACAGTATGATTTCATTCTCTAGATACTGAACAATAGGGAAAAAGGCAAGAAAGATGTCATTTAAAATGTTAGCAGTATTTAAATTTTCAGTTGCTTATTTTATATAGTTGCTTTTCTATTTTGTAAAATTTCTGCAACAAACTAGCATGATCTATATGAGGAAAAAAACTACTTTTTTAAAAGTAATAAAAACAACCTACCAGTCCATTTAAGTTCTTTATGTTGTTTCTTCCTAAAGACAGTATCCTCAAGTTTTCTGTAGTGGAAAGAAAGCAATTTTTTTTTTAATGAAAAATCATAGTTCACAATTGTTGAAAATCTAATATACTAAAGCCTTAATAAATTTTATATAATAAATATCTTTATATAATGAGTATGGCAGACTACATTAACAAAAGTAGTAATCAACCAAGAAATAACACTGACCTATCATTTAAGGTAAGCTCTACAACTGTAATTTCACCACATGCCAGTATTCAATTATAAAATGGCTATTTAGGATACATCATTTTGTATTTCTGGCTAGTAAAAATATTAGAGGTAGGGCCTTCTCTGGTGGCACAACAGGTTAAAGCACAGCCCTATGAAGCTATCCACATCTACTGCAGCACAAGTTCACTCCCCAGCCAGGGAGGTAACCCACATAGTGTGGCAGACCTCTCCTAATCCACCCACTGCTCTCCTCAGCTGTGTATTTCAGTACATCTGCCTGTTCTGCTCCCCACTCTGTCTCTGGTGAGTCCTCTCACTGCCCCCACCCCAGCACCTCTGGTCTGTACCCCAGTTCTGTACGCATACATAAATGAATCTTTTATAAAATATATTACAAAGGTAAAGAATAAAAAAGAATTTTAATTTTGGGAGCTTATATATTTCAAATCATAAAATACGGCTCAGAAAACAAAAATATATTTATATGTATTTCACCTCACTCTGTAAAAGGATTAGACATATAACCAAATAAATTTATCATCTAAATAATCTTTGTTTTCAGCCTTTTAAATAGATTGTCTCTCTGGCTTTAAAATGCCTATTTGTATTCTTTAAAAAATATGTTTCTATTTATCTATCTGTAGATTATATCTGGAAGGGGAAAGAATCTAAAACAATGGTTACTTTAGAAGAAGAATTTGAGAGTCTATTCTTAGAGAAAAAGGGTCTATGGTCAGAGGAAGACTTCTTTTGAACTACTTGGATAAAACCATGTGAGGGTATTGTTTTTCAAAACTAAAAAAAGATTTCTAGTAAAATGTAAGAAGCCTTATTTTTGGTCTAAAAAAACTACTGTAAGTATTTTTGTGAAAATTACACATTCAGTTTTTCACAACTTAAACTTCTAAATTATGCTGTCCAATATCACAGTCCTAGTCACATGTGGCTATAATTTAATTAAAAATAATTGCAATTAGAAATTCATTTTCTCAGTCACACTAGACACATTTCAAGAGCTTAGAGCTGCATAAGTAGAGCACCAGTAGAAAGAAAACACTTTTTTTAAAATAGAAGGTTTTAATGAAAATCAACAATATCTTAAAGCTTTGTTTATTTAATAAAATGGAGTAAGTACAATTTTTTTTACTAAATTATAACTAGGCAACAAAACTTATTTTCTAATCTTTAACATGAGATTATCTTTAACATGTAGATTTTTAGTCACCATTTTGAACTTAGTCATGTCATGTAGTTTTCCGGTTATAATTTTAATATAATAATATAAATTGCCATTAGGGGTATTCTGTCTTATAAAACCCCTTTAAATAAAAATACCTATTTATTACAGATCATAGTATTATAGGTACACTGCTCATGGAAAGAAAAGCATGAGAAGCAAACTAGACTCATGTATTTAAGCCTTTAGTTGGATCATTGGATTCTTTTTGCTTCAGTCACAGAGGACGTTTCTTCTCCGGTCACAGACAGCAGAAGTACCATTTGTTAGAAGCAGAACTAAACTGAGAGGCGTCACAGCGAACATGCTACAGACAACTAGGTGCTCTAATAATCATGTCTACAGCAGGTATCAATAATTGATCAATGCATATTTCTGCACTGAATTTTTAGAACTCTTTTAAAAATAATTTTCCTGAGATTCACTACCAACTGACCAAAATTAGAATATTAGTTAAAACTCATGACGATATACAAGGTTATCCATTTTCATTGCTGCCATTACTATAATTTTATGAAAAGAAATGCATATTATCTGTTATGATAATGTTATCAATGTAGTCTTATTTAAATAAGTTATTTCAATCACAGAGAAAGACAATAGGTAGAGGATAATATGTGTTTTGTCCCAATTTCTGTGACCTGCCCAGAGGCAGAAAGGCTGAGCAAGTAAGAGTTTATTGTTCCCAGGCAGCAGCTGAGACCAGGCTCCCTACGGTGGGGTCCGCAGCTACTGCCAGCCCTATAGGGGAAAAGAGTCTCTTATATAGATTCTAAGTTCAGATTCTAAAGGGGGGACTCCTCGCTGTGCCCCCAGATGTGAGGCCAGTTCGTTATAGCCTTTATCTAGGCCCACGGGTAGTTGCTGTGTTAGCGTCCACACCTGGTCACCCCCAACAAAATGAAACATTAGAAATTGTTCAATGAGTCAGTGAAAAACTGGACAAGATCGGGTTACCTTATGCACAGCTCTTGTAAATAAAAGCTTTCTCTCTAGCACTATATAAATATTGAATGAGTAAGGTACTAGGGAATGGAGATTTGAAATAGAAAATAAAAGGGTCAATAAAATGTAATGCTTGCCCTCTAATAACTCATTATCTCAAGAGAACATATTCCTCATTAATTATAATAAATGGCAAATATTTCTCGAGCACTGACATGCTTCAGGCACTATTCTAAGCAGTTTATATATTCAATTTATTCATCTTCACAATAACTACATTAAATATGCAATTTTTATTATAATCCAAGGTAGACATTATTAAGTATTCCCAAAGGAGATTAGAATCTTTAGAGGGAGAGATGATTTTTAATAATTCTTACTCCTTGCCTCATAGATTTTTCCTTGTAGAAAAAGGAGCTATTCTCCGTGAAAAACACTGCATTAACAGGGTACATAATCAAAAATAAGAATGACATGTTTTGTTGTAAGGTGGCATATCCTTTTAGAAGACCTTGAACACACCAATGTAACATTACACTATTTGGTCCTTATCAGGCAAGGAGCTATTAGAGGTCTCTGATGTAGAAGAATGATGATGAGAATATTATTTTTAGAAAGAAAACTTTGGTATCTATGCTGAAGGTAACTGAAGAGCAGAAAGATAGGTGACAAAAAGAATCAGAAGGTTATCACAAAAGTCATGAAGACGGTGTTTTTCAAACTGTGGGTCATGTGAAATCAACTTGGTTGTGAGAAGCATTTAAAAAGTGAGAAGCATTTAAAAAGCTGAAATAAAACTGAAAAATATTTATTTAGAAACTTATGCTACAAAGGCAACTGTCCTGCAAACTTTATTCCAGTTTTTATGTGTATATTTCATATGTGCTTGCTATGTACTGAGTCATTAATTTAAAAATATTTCTTACTGTGGAAAATGGTCAAAAATGTTTCTGCAAACATGATCTAAGGTGGACAAGATCAGGGTCTAAATTAAAGCCCCTAGAAATGGAAAAGCAAAAATTATTTGAGCATTCTTTCAAATAGTAAATAAGGGACTTCCCTGGTGGCTCAAGGGGTTTAGTCAGCACAATGAAGCTATAGACAGCCACTGCAACTGTGAGTTCCACCCCACCCCACCCTCCAGGTGGCCCACATGGCACAGCAGACCTCTCCTGACCTGCCTGCAGCTCCCCTCAGCAGAGTACTTTATCAGTCTGCCTGCTCTGCTCCCCACTGTTTCTGGTGAATCCTCTCACAGCGCCTGCACCTCTGGCCTGTACCCCAGTTCTGTATGCATAAATGAACAGATCTTTAAAAATAAAACAAATAAATAAATATGACAAACTGAAACACACACAAGACATTAAGATAAATTATAAAATATCTGATTTTCCATTTAAGATATCTAATTCTACAAAAGTTTCAAAATGTCTTTAAAATGTTCAGATCTTGGGCCCTCCCTGGTGGCGCAGCGGGTTAAAGCACAGCACTAAGAAGCTAAAGCCACTTCCGCATGAGTTCGATTCCCACCTGCCCCGGAGGTGACCACGTGGCGCAGCAGACCTCTCCTGACCCGCCCGCAGCTCCCCTCAGCAGTGTACTTCGTAGATCTGCCTGCTCTGCTCCCTGCTCTGTCTCTGGTGAAGCCTTTCGGCGCCCCTGAGCCTCTGGCCTGAACCCAGTTCTGTATACACAAATAAATCTTTAAAAAAAAAAATGTTCAGATCTCATGTTAACTATAATTTTCTTTAGCTAATCAAACCTAAGGCACATATTTTCTGTCATCTAACAAATACTGTGGTTAAAATAGGTGTCAGCTTCTGGAATTATATAATCTCTCTGGAATCCTTATTATTCCAATAACTAGAAAGTCTAAGAACAATATGTTACTGTGGATCACTTACTTAAGCCATTCAGGTTGGCAATTTTTTCAATGCAGTTTGTAGACAGTGAAAGTTTCCTTAAAAAGAACATAGGAAAATTCGAATTAATATGAAAAAATTTTAATGGGATATCAGAAATTATTGCTCAAGTACCAAGAAAATTATATTGACAGTATATTTCTTTTTTAGACTGAATCCTTGTTAGATATGGAAATTGTTCTTTCATTTTGAAGTTTTCATGTGTTTTCTGATGACAAAATATTAACTTTTAAATCCCATTACAATTTCACACTCATTGTAGAAAATTCAAAATAACCATTGTGAGGACAAACTGGTATTATCAAAACAATTCATGCACATATTCTTTTAACCTATTATTCCATTTCTAGAAATAGATCCTACTGAAATACTAATACAAATGCCAAAAATAAAAGAACTAGCTAATTTATTATATTATCATAAAAACAGAAAAATCCAGAAGTATCCATCAACTCAGGAATATTTAACAAAATACTATGCTGTCACTAAAACAAGTTAAGACTAGGCTACAGATACTGGCCTGGGAGATGTCCATAATATGCAGTGTCACAAAAACCATCTAGCAGAACAATGCTCTTTTATGAACCCCTTTTTGATGAAAAAGCAGATCCATATGTATGTGTGTGTGTGTGTGTGTGTATGTGTGTATGTATATAGATATATGGAGATTTTGTTATCTAGTGTGCTAAATCATTCAGAAATACAAATTTCTGACTTTAAGAAGATATATTTACCCTAACAATACCACATATTTCCCCAGAGATAACTACTTTTAATAGTTGGTATATGTTTATCTAGATTTTTTCTATACCTATTTTAATTGTATAAAAACAATTGTTTATGGTAACAATCTTTAATTAAAGATTCTTAGTCTTCCTTTCTTAACAGGTTGTTTAATATTTTTATTAAAGTCATACAAATGCATATAAATCTCATGCAAAAATATAACAAAAGCTAATTTTATCAACACAATGTGTGTCCAGTAGGCTTCCATGTAATTTACATATGTTAACTATTTTAAATATTACAGCAAATCATATGAAATAAGCATTATTATAATCTTTATTTGCAAAGGAGGAAATTGAGGCACAAAGATGTTAAATAATTTGCCTAATATACAGCCAGAAGAAAGTGGCATAGCTAAAGTTAAAATCCAAAAAATTTTACTATAGAACATGTGATCTAATCCTTTCTTATATGACCTGAAGAAAAATTATTCAGTATTTTGCTTGAAACAGCAAAGCAGTAACTATACTTCGTACATTTCTGGTCCAATTTGTATATTTCTTGTCATCCCCCTCTCCCAAGCATTACCAGTGAAAAAATGGAGTGCTTCACTCTGGGAATATGGGTGGGAAATAACTGTTTAGTTCTTGTTTAGACAACCTTCCTGAAGAGACTATCAGCAAAAATATGGACAGGTTGACTCTTTCTGAGGCATTTCAAAGTACTTTGGGAACTTGGTTCAGAGTACAAAAGTTTCTCAAGTGTTTACCTTTAAGATAGAGATATCTGACCACTCTGAAATTAGACTTTTTTGAATCACACTTTTGAAGCCAAGAAAACATGCAAGGTGGATTTTTATGGAATACATATACTTTTATCACAACAAACAAGTTGCATAAAATAACAACCTATGCTTGTTTTTCCCTTTAGTTCCAAAGACAGCTATGAGTTTCACACATACATGTCCAGCAGTCATCCGAGTATAAATAGACTCCTAGGTTTCATCAGTCGACATTCTCTTTCTCTAATTTGGGGTAGGGCTTACCTCCTGCATAAGAAGATTCTTATGTATGTAGTCAGAGGACCACACTTAGAAAACTCAGGGTGAAGAAATGAGTGATTCTCAAACATTCAAGGAACACTGAAGTCTTGGAGCATGGTTACAAGGTAATATAATTGCTTCACAGTAGCCACAGATTGCTGCTAAAATTGTGTAGGCTATTTAGAAATTAAGTTAAAAGAAATTAACATAAATCTGATACTTAAGGGCATGGGGAAAATATGATAAAATAATAAGTGTGACTTAATCACAAATAGAAAAAAATTAGAATTACATCAAAATGTTAACACAGATGCTTAACAGGTGGTTCAATTTTGGTTGATTGTGCGTTTTCTACTTTCTATAATCTAAAAAGTTCTTTTATAATCTAAATAATCTAAAAAGTTCTTTGAAAGCAATATCTCTGAGTCCTCTAATAACTACAGTACTGAATTTGGTGGATAATTTTACGAGCGAAAGAAGTAGATTTTATGATAAATTAATAGTTTTATTATGTTATTTCAGTTTTTCTAATCAAGGAAATTTTTATTTTCCAGTTTTATTGTAAAACTGTATTGTCAAAAATTATATTTTTCAAATTATTCTATTAATAATTCAACAAATCAATAATCTTTAATGTTGGGCCTTGCCAAAGGTGAAATGATATTAAGCTAAAAAAGAAATGAATGAAAGATCACATGTAAAAATGTATTTTTTTCTAGTTTGTATAATTACAAAGGAAGGAAAACTTAATAGCAATACTAGAAGGATGAGAAAAGATGAGAACTTACTCGCAATTAGCAAGCGTGGATAAGGATGCATCCATCTTCTCTATAGGGGGGATCTGGGCATAAAGCTTTATCTCTTTGGCTTCTGATGGCTTCTGACTGGTCTTTTCTTCCTATGATAAAAGTGAATTTAAAAGAAAATGATCCCTGATTGTAATGTGGAACTCTTGAAGTCCAGAATTTCCCAAGACTTTTCAATGTTTATTTCCAAACAAGTATTTGAATTTAATAACTGTACATCCCTTATCATTCACTTACTGACATTTATTTAGTGAACTTGTTAACTAAGTAAATTATTCATTTCTATACGAATGATTCAAATAATTCATTATTAGGTCCCAGCCAAATGGAAGAAGGAAGAAAAGAACTTTTATTTCTATAACATTTTAAATCCCTTAAGAGTTTATCAGCTACTAAAGAAAAACAAAACACAACAACAAAGACATTTTCCTGGGAAAAATTCCTTTTCCTTAAACAACCTTTTCTTAAATATAAAATTCAGACCTGTGAGAGCAACTGTTTTGTCATCTTGTCTTCCACAGTTCAGTTTGAGGTAGAACAACAAAATACCAAGAATTGGCCCTCCCTGGTGGCGCAGCGGGTTAAAGCACAGCACTGAGAATCTGAAGCCACTTCCGCATGAGTTCGATTCCCCCCTGCCCCGGAGGAGACCACATGGCGAGCCAGACCTCTCCTGACCCGCCCGCTGCTCCCCTCAGCAGTGTACTTCGTCAATCTGCCTGTTCTGCTCCCCACTCTGTCTCTGGTGAAGCCTCTCACCGTCCCTGAGCCTCTGGCCTATACCCCAGTTCTGTATGAATAAATAAATAAATCTTTAAAAAAAAAAAAATACCAAGAATTTATGTTCTTGGTATATTCTCTTTATAACACAGCTGAGATTAAAGGCATTAGCTCTACAGTAATTTACTACTAACTTCTATCTTGGAATTTATTTCAGTACTAAATACACAATTTAAAATTTAATTATCAACATATACTGCCTAGTAATATTTTGAAAGCACTTCAATACTTAGTTGTGTCTCTCCAAAAAAACAGGAATCTCCTAAAGCTCAGAGAACATTTCCTTTGCACTATCTTTTCTATAACCTAATGTAAAACACAAAATAAGTCATTCTAAAAATTTAATCATCAAATACCAGTAATAGAAAATCTACAACCCCTTGAAAGAAAGAGATCTAAGGCATAATGTTCAGTATGTACGCTCTGTAGTGAAAGAGTAAACTTGATGTATTAAAGTAGTCTTAAATGTCAAAGATTTGGGCTTGGTATGGTATAGTAACATACACCTGAATCATATACAGTGTTATAAATTGATTTACAAAATATGCAAAAATTTGAAAAGTTTTAAAAATAAATCTGTGTTGAAAAAAGAATAAACAGGGCCCTCCCTGGTGGCACAACAGGTTAAGTCTCAGCACTATGAAGCTACCCACAGTCACTGCAGCACAAGTTCAATCCCTGGCCAGGGATGTGACCCACATGGCACAGAGACCTCTCCTATCTCTCTGCTGCTCTCCTCAGCAGTATATTTCAGTTAATCTGCCTATTCTGTTCCCCACTCTGTCTCTGGTAAATCCTCTCACTGCCCTGCACCTCTGGCCTATACCCCAGTTCTTGTATGCATAAATAACTCTAAGAAAAAATTAAAAAAGAATAAACAAAGATTTATAACCACACTATAATCTAGAAATAGAACCTAAAAATTGAAATAAAAAACCACCACTTGTTATAAGAACATAAAGTCCTGAAATCTGATTCAAGTAACCTGAAGTATTGTATTCACAGCCCAATAATAAAAGGAAAAGATAACATTATTGTGCAAAAACTACTGGTAATATATACAAGTAATTGCTAGGCATAGAAGTTAAAAAGCCATCTGTATACTTGAAACAAAATGTTTTATTCAATATTAATAACATATTTAATGCATTTTTCAATGTCATTTCCTTTCAATATCAGTATACATTTTAGAAAATTTTTCCAGCTTTACTGAGATAAAGCTGACATATATCACTGTACAAGGTTAAGGTATATAACATGAAGATTTGATATATAAATATACTGCAAATGATTACAATAATAAGGTTACTTAATACATCTATTACCTCACATTATTATCTTTTCTGTATATAAGAAAGAGAACATTTAGTAAAACTAAAGCAACTTTCTAGTATATAATAACAATACAGTATTATTAACTAAAATCATCATGCTGTATATTAGACTCTCAGAACTTACTTATCTTATCACTGGAAGTTTGTATCCGTGGACCAATATCTCCCCATCTCCCCCTAATTCCCAACCCCTGGCAACTACTATTGTACTGTTTCTATGAGTCCTGCTTTTTTAGGAATTTTTTCACAGACAGGTGAGATCACACAGTATTTGTCTTTTCTATCTGACTTATTTCACCTACAAGACTGCAGTCAATGTCTATCCATGTTGTCACAAAATACAAGATATCCTTTTTTATGGCTAGATAGTATTATACTGTGTATATGAATGTATGTACATACATACACACACAAAAATTTTCTTTACTCATTCATCCATCAATGAACACGTAGGTCCATGTCTTGGCTATTATGAATAATGCCACAATTTCCTTGGGGTACAGATACCTATTTAACATAGTAATTTTATTTTTTTCAGCTATATCTCCAGAAATGTGATTGCTGGGTCACACAGTAGTTCTATATTAAATCTTTTGAGAAACTTCCACATGGTTTTCCATGGTGGCTATATCAACAGACATTCCCATCAACAGTGTACAAGGGTTTTTTTCCACCTCATCTTTACCCACCCTTATCTCTTGGTTGTTTTTTTTTTTTTATGGTAGTCACTCTATCAGATGTGAGGTAATATCTCACAGTCATTTTGATCATTTCCATGATGATTACTGATGTTTTATATCATCTTACTATTTTTATTGCATATCTTTTCAGTTTTGATTTTCATTTGTCCACACTGGCTGTTTCTTTTCTAACCTGCAAGAGGCTAAGCCATCATCTGCCTAAAACTTAGATAATCCACAACATTCTATCCTATTCTATCCCCTGAAAATAACATGTATTTTAACAATAAAGTTGAAAAGAAAATGTACTATAACACTGAGATTTCAGTCATCTTCCAGTATTAAATAAATCAGATTTTCCATATTGAAATGTTTACAAGTTAGATTTTTTTAATTAAAATACTAGAAAACTCATCTACAGTTATAAAAAAAAAATACAAAGATATCCCTGGTATAGTTTGCCTGGTTTCTCCAAAAGTTACATTTTGCAAAACTACAGTATAACATCACAACAGGACACTGATGTTAATACAATCTACTTATTTCATTCAGATTTTCCTAATTTTATCTGTTGTCATTTGTATATATGAGTATGTATGTTTGTACATGTTTAGAACTACACAATTTTACCAACTGCATAGGTTAATGTATCTATCACCACAGTCAAGACAGCTAAACAGTTCCAGCACCACAAAGATGCCTTGCATTGAATGGTGAGATTTAAACAACTATCCAAAAACTGTCCTTGTATGGTCTCTAAAAGAAGTAAATACTCATTTACTCACCCATCTGGCTAGGGCCTCTTTGATTGTTGTTGCTTTTGCCTTAAAAAGAGAAAGGAAAAAAACAAGGCTATCTTTATTAGTATATGATTTGGTGATTCAATTTTAATGCTTTGGTATCTACCACTAAAAAGGTAACTTCTTTTTTGGGGGGGTATTAGATAGAAAGAGAGATAATATATACAAAGAGTTTTATTTGTGAAATCAGAATGATTTATTTAAATACATTTTAGAGAAATTAAGGAAATCATGATGAATTTATTGTACATTTGGTTAGCAAAAATTATATAGTTTGCAATACTTGATGTTAACATGTATCTCATTTCAATAATTCTAAGATCTATATTTTTTTATACATTAACATCTTGGAAATTTGGATGCATCTTACAATCAGAAACAATTTATAATTGTTGTAATAGGAGGCTTCCAGTGAAGCCTAAAAGTGAAGCTTTAGAAAAATATTAACATATGTGTGTATGTGTACATATATATAGACATATGTACACACATATATATACACATATAGATTTACAATATATTTACACACATACAAACTTAAATATACGTTGCAAATATGTATCTGTTTGCAAAGGATGACCTACAATAAAAACATATATGCTGAAATACATTTAAAAGTAAAAGACAGAAATTCTGTGTGTTGATGTATTTGTCATAACTTAACTCCAATTTATTTTTCTTATTACATGAAATAATGTACCTTATAAAAAATATCTTGGATGCATTTTAATATATTAAAGGTTACCAAAAGAAGATATCATGAATGAATTATTGCTAGAGTTATTTTTAAAAAGAGAGAAAGCTATTTTAAAAAAGAAATAGAGCCCAGGCATTAACAAAAGTAAAGTATTTCATGCATATACCATTTTAACTACCACTAAATAACCACTGGGTAGAAAAAGAAAATTATAAAACAAAAAACAAAGAAGTTGAATGTTGAGAAGAATAATACTAAAAAGGAAACGTATAATTTCAGATGCATTTATTAGAAAATGAGCAAGCTCAATATTCAAGATATTGAAAAAGCACTGCATTACAGACCCCAAGAAGGCAGAAAGAAGCACAAAGGAAGGAGTCAATGAAAAACAGAACAGGAAAGAAGAATAAATTAAAAGCTAGTTCTTAAATTTCTGGCAAGCCATATATAACAAGGAGATACAAATTAAACATAAAATGAATAAGGATAAATAACTACAGATATCACAGAGATTTTAAAAATAAAATAAGCAAACATATGGTAATAAATTTGAAAACCTAGACAAGGTATGTATTTCTGAAAAAAAAAAAAAAAAACCAGAACTGTCAAACTCATAGGAAGTCTTAGAAAATGTGACTAGACCATAATCATTTAAAACATAAAAGATAACTCCTTCTCCCCTATAATTCCAAACCTAGATAATTTTACACATATAACTCCAAACCTAGATAATTGTACACATAAGTTCTACCAAGCTCTGAAAGGACAGCTATTCCATTATATTCAATATTCAAGATATTGAAATTTATTTCAGAAACTAGACTAGGTAGAAAGACTGACAACTTATTTTACACAGCTAGAATAAGCTTGATGCACAACCAGATAAGGAGATTCTTTACATTTTCAATATCTATTTGAGAATTCTAGCTATAACATTAGCTCTCCAAAATCAATATATAAAATATATGATCAAGAATGGCTTTATCCTAGGATCATAAGGATTTATTTAATTACAGGAAAATCTATTGTTAGCTAATATATACCTTAGTTAAATTTATTTAAGTTAAATTTTATATAAGGTATATATTTGATGATAATTACTAAGAAAAAAGACAGTGAAATTGGTTAGGGGCATCGGTGTGTTGTGCATCTAATACACACCAAAGCACTCTGAAAACTCAAAAACAAAGAGGAAGTGGAAAAATGGACAAACATATGTAAGCATAAAATACAGAAACTGAATTCCAGACAACTAAAAGAGGTTTTTAAACTCACTGAAAATCAGAGAACCACAAAGTAAAATAGTGGAATACTAAAATACATCCTCAAATTGGCAAAAGCTAGAAAATCAGTGAGAAAGCAGAAAAATGAGAACGCCTATGCATTACAGAGGAAGTAAAAACTAGTAGAGGCATTCTAGAAAGCAGTCTGACAGTGTCAAGGAAAACTATGCACCAAAACTATGTGACTCTAACATTCCACATATGGGCATATTTACCAGAGAAACCCTTACATGGATCCATAAAATGAGACATATGAAAAACCCTTTTAAAACATTATGGAAGCAAATTGGAAGCCATTAACAACCTATTATGGCAATATAGGATTGGTTAAAAAGTCAATAGTTTCTTCTATAGAAGCTTAAATTCTTAAAGAATCGTTGGGCATTATCAACAGGTAAAACTGGCCATATGAAGAAGAAACTTCTACTCAGCCCCAGTCAACTGTTGGCAGGTAAAATTTGGGATAACTGTTGCCCTAATATCACATTTCTTCAAATATGAAAACTCTTTTAATTGAAAGAAACACTCTTATGTATCAATAAGGAAAGATGATGCTATTATCCAACATCATCATGGTTCAGTGAAGGGGGAGATGGTGAAATATGGTAGTTTGGGTTTTTTCAGGGGAAGCAAAAACCTGGGTTTTGATGTAAAATATGACATTTTTAAAGATATTAGAAGCTAAATTTCAAAACATTTAAAAACTGTGTAGGTCTGCATTTCTGAGGGACCCCGGAATTACCAGCTTATAGTCTCAACTAGCTTCATTTAATTATTGGCTCTGATAGCCCATTTGGAGGTTTTTAATAATTTTCATGGTTAATGCTGTCAGAATTATTTAGGGCTGATTCTCCACCTAAAATGTAAGCCTAAATTCTATAATTTTATACTTCCCCTTGGCAATTGCTTTCAGCTATGTAATGAAGTAAGGTAATCAATCAGGTGGGGAAACTACTTTCTAAAGCTGGCATTTAATCTTGTGATTGAGAATGGGTATGGCATTCTCATTATTTTAATTTCCTGAACTCAATTTCTCCTCTCTCCTATACAATTGGAATCACAAAAGGACAATTATACAATTTTCATAAACATCTCCATGGGGCAGGGCAGTCACATACATTTTGCTTAGCAATTTTTGGCTAGATTCGTAACCATGGACTAACATCCTTTTTCCCCCCACATTATGAGTTGTAACTACGAAGTAATTAAGCAGGAGAAGACATATATTTAGTAGGAGCATCACCAAGTAAACTCATAAAGGGCTTTGATTGGATAGACCGCTGATAGATTTCAAATCTAAGGCAGTATTTCTCAAAGTGTGGGGAGGTGCCCTCCAATTTTCCCATCACTTCAGGTGCATCGTCCGATTCACATTCTTGAATCCCTTCCGAACCCACCCGGTCCCCAATCACACTAAAAATTCATAATCTCCATTCCAACAAGCTCCTACTCAGGCCAAATGAAGTTACACATGAGCATACTGTAATTTGAGAAATACTACCCTAAATACCCTATCAGAGTGGGTTTTATGATGTCAAGCTAATAAGGACACACATTCAGAGCCCAACCTAGGTACTTTACAGGTTCCCAATACTGCAGGAATCGGTGTCTTAAGCAGCACTTCCCCCATCTCACTAGGGGAGAAGATTACTGCTCTGTAAAGAAATATCCTAATTCACACCCTCCCTTCCATCATCTTCCCACTCCAATCCTCTCTTTTTAGATAATTCCCAGCTCTTTGTTTTCCCTTTTCTCCGCCGCCGGGGACCCTCCACTCCCACACAACCTCGAGTCCGTCCCAGGCCGCCTCATCCCAAACCATCCCCTGCCGGGGTGCCTCTTTCGCCTCAGGCCTCTGACTCCACCGAGCTAATGTCCGCTACCCGCTCCCTTCCGTAGTTCGAAGACCCCCATCCCCAGCCTCAACACTTCACAGTCACCCTTTTCCACTTCCAGTCTCCTCTCAGTTTCAGCTACAAGGCCCAGAGGGTACTCACCATTCCGGCCGTTGCTACTGTCACTGCTCTGGTTGCTAAGGCCCGGCGGGGTCAGTGCGCGTGCGCACTTCTCCCAGCTCGCCGCGGATCCCAGCAGTGGTCCTTTCTCTCCGCCCTCGGGTGGCTGCAGCAGAGCATTGTGGGACGCTGCGGCGGCCGCCAGGGTCCTGCTGCCCGGCGACCACTTGCTTCCCAGAAGCTGCAGCGCAGCTCGGGTGATTCCCGTGGTTGTGGCGCTAGGCGCGCGGAGTGGTCTGAAGACATGTGTTTTTCCCTACCGAAAGCAGTTTCAGCTAATCTGGAGTGATGTACCTGCCCGCAGTCTAAAACTTTAAAACCTCCCTATGACGACAGCCCCTCGCATAAGAGAACTTATAAAACTCGCCTTGCCTGCAGAGTGCCTTTCCCTATCCTCTCCAGACTGACTGTGGAATTCACCTGGCCACCCAAATGACGCTATCCGGAGCTAAACGCCGTTGCATTTCTTGGGTTTACTTCCTCCACAACCTCCAGGAAGACAGCCAGAGAGCACAAAATGTTCGTTTTACTAAATGAGGTGTCTTTAAACCCCACCTGTCAAATTTTAGCCAAAAGGTGTAAAAATGCTCGAGTTGCCAAGAGTATGGAGAAATATATGCATTATTTATAATTGATAGAGCCTATGGCGGAGTGGGAGAGGTCTGTTGATAATATATATTAAAAGCTTTAAAAACTTTCGTACCTTTTGACCCAGGAGCGCCACTCGAGGACTTCATCCCAAAGACATAATCAAGACAAGTACACGGAGACATAAATTCAGTTTTAATAGCAAAAATAAAAACAACCCAAATGTCAACAAGTCAGTTGGTATTATTGAACATTCAAACAATGAAATAATATACTAATGCTAAAGATGTTGCTGAAATCCACCTACTCACTTGCAAATGATAGTTTTGTGTTGATTTAAAGTGCAAACTACCAAACAAAATATTTGGCATGCTCCTCTTCAACAGTTATGTATAGCGCACACCTACAAAATATCCGAGGGGGGGTTTAATTGTTACTACAGACTGACTTGCGTTCTCCACTCCCAATTCATATGTAGAAATCCTAACTTCCAAATGCAACTGACTGGGATAGAAGTCCTTTGAGGGGGTAATTATGGTTAAGTAAAGCCTTAATAGTGAGTCCTAGTCCAACAGGACTGATTTCCATTGAGAAGAGGAACAGACTCCAGCAGGGGTGTCGCAGAAATACTGTGTGCCAACACAGTGTCCCGCAAGCAAGGAGAGTGGTCTCACCTAAAACTAATCCTGTCAGCATTTCAGTCTTGGAGTGTAGTAGAGATAATGCCTTTTTTTCCCCTGAAATGTGAGAAAATGGTTTTCTGTTGCTTAAGCTATCTTGTCTATGGTATTTTGTCATGGCAATCTGAGGAGAATAATACAATGCTCATTTTGCATGCCCATTTTCTGATTGTTTCTCTCATGTGTATGCTTTCAATTTTGAAAATTTAATTTCATTTTGTAAAAGGCTATTTAATCACATTTATAAAACTAAGAAAAGTGAAGAGTTTTTTAAAGAAAATGCAAATATATGTTCATAGCGTATCTGACTTTTGCTATGATAGTGTATTATTTGCAGAAGATCTGTAAACCTCCACATCTCTCTGACATAGAATTCTTCCTGGCCTCCAAAATCTCTACCAGTTGTGTTGATGTGGCTTTAATGGGAATTTAATCCTCAACTATATCTCATAACCCAGCAGAGTATTGCTTTTACTCAAAACTTGGATGCACCATAAGAAACTGGTATTAGTGGTACAATACCATTAATAAATTAATTTTATCTTCGTGCTTGGCTAGAACATTAATTCTATTTCCTTGTCTTTGCAGTAGTAAACCTTGTGAAAATTAATGTACAGCAACTCTAAACGAAGCCAGAAGTCTTAAAGAGATTTCCTACACAAATGTAATAAGCAAACCACAGAACCATGTCTTGTACCCTCCAGAGAAAAGTGACATTGCTTCATTGTCGCAGCAAAAAAAAAGGCATTATCTCTACTACAAAGCTTTACCTAGCAGCCTCTTCCTATACAAGGGGATGCTGGAACTGGATTCAGGCAATATATAACCGAGTCTTGCTAAGAGACTACATTTACCAAAGTGCAATTTTATTCTTGTTTTGAAATAAACCCATTTTGTTGGTGGAATAACTGATTAATTTTTGTTTGAGGTGAATGACTTTGACAGTGAATGTCTTATTTACCCTATGTAAAGAGAAGATTGCTTGTCTCTGCAAATTAATTTACAATATGTCCATTTCCAATCAAACACATTTTTACTTTCAAATTTTCAAAGGTCAAAAAAATTCACATTCACAAGGAAGAAAAGTAAGTAAGTTGAATCCCTTCTCTGTTCTTAAATGCCTAAAAATGTCAAAATAAATTCCAAAAACTGTTCACCGGAGAATACGGGTTTGGGCCCATCTGCTATTTTAACAAACCTGGGTGAAAGAAAGTTGAGAGAAAGTTTAAAAATATTATTGAAACAGTTTCTCCAAATTACAATAATCCAGCTGATCCATTGAAAAGTGTGGGTAAACTAGTATAAAATGATGAAAAATCAAATATGTTATGAAAACTTAATTTTTAAATAAGAACATAGGCAGAACAAAAGAGAGGGGAAATTATCATATTTAACAGAAGATTAGAAATTGGGCAACATAAAACATTTAAAAAGAACTCAAAGCCCCCAAGAGTCATTAATTCTTATGGTTATTTATACAGTGAAGTGGGTTATCAGTTCAATTAAAATGAGCATTGTCTTAAATTTCAAGTCTATTTCCCAGATTATGGGATTTCCATTATTATTTATTAAAAAGCCATTTTTTCCCCTTTCATTAGGTTCTGGGCTGCTTTAAAATAAACCCATTTTAGTTCTTCTTCCTATAAACAGCTTTATGTGATCTCTGAAAATGGTTCCCTATGCACTTGACCCAGAAAACTCTACAAAGTCATGCAAATCATGAAGTTCAAATGTTCGTGTCAATTTTAAGAACTATCACGAAGCTGCCTGGGTCATGGAGGATGTGCACATCCAAAGAGCCACCAAGTAAAGGAAGGATGTCACTGTACATGCTATTCTGTTGTTCCAATGGTGGAGTTGATAGTTGTGCCATGCCAAGGAGAGGGGCTGCATTAGAATGTCAAATCTGGAGGAGCCTCCAAGGTGGTACAGGGGCTAAAGTCTCAGCACTATCAGGCTACCTCCAGCCAATGTAGCATGGGTTTGTCCCCAGCCAGGGAGCTGACCCATATGGTGCAGCAGACTTCTCCTGTCTCATCCACTGCACCCCTCAGCAGTGTATTTCAGTTGATCTGCCTATTCTGCTCCCCATTCTGTCTCTGATGAATCTTCTCACCCCCCACACCTCTGGCCTATACTCCAATTGTTATATGCATAAATAACTAAAAATACAGAGGAACTAATCAAAACCATTCACCAGTTTAGCAAGGTAGCAGGTTATAAAATCAACACACAAAAGTCAGAGGCTTTCCTATACACAAACAACCAAGCAGAAGAAACAGAGATAAAAAAAAAAAATCCCCTTTTCAATTAAAACAAAAAGAATCAAATACCTGGGAGTCAACCTAACAAAGGAGGTAAAAGACCTCTACAAAGAAAATTACAAAACACTGTTAAAAGAAATACAAGAAGACACCATGAAATGGAAAGACATCCCCTGCTCATGGATCGGGAGAATTAACATCATCAAAATGGCCATCCTGCCAAAAGCAATATACAGATTTAATGCCATCCCCATAAATGGCATTCTTCAAAGAAATAGAAAAAATGTTGATGAGATTCATAAGGAACAACAAAAAACCTCGAATAGCCAAAACCCTCATGTCTAAGAAAAATCAAAATGGAGGCATTACAATCCCATAAATAACTAAAAATAAATCTTAAAAAAAAAATCCCAAATCTTTACTGCATGTGCTTAAATGCACAGAGTAATGTGTAATTTAAGGGTTCCAATATAGATTCTCTAGTCATTGAGCACATCCAGGTAAACCAAGCCCCCAAGATATGTCAAAGAACTTACAGAGTTCATGGCTGGATGAATGAACCCTTTCAGGAGCTCCCCCTGCCATGCTGAGAAGATCCTTACTGAAAAGGGCAGATTGTTCCTGCACCAGAAGAGGAGGTTGCACAGAAGAAAACCCTATCCCAGGAGAAACCAAAGAAACAGCAACCTATGGAATCTCTTTCTTGAAAGACTTAGAATGGTGACAAGTGTGGGGGGGGAGGGGAAAGTCTGGTTAATAGCAGAAAGGATTTTATGTCTTCAGACTTTCACAAATTAACCTCTGGGTCATCTTACTAGAATTCACTCCAGCTCCTGACTATTATGAAAAAGTTACTACAAACCAGAGGTTGCTCATCATAAAACCAGGTTTCTTTTAATGTAATCACACCTCTGTTCAAAACCTCTGAGATAGAGAGCAGACTAATTATCACATAGCAGGTTTTTAAAAACTGGTATATAGTACATAATAACAGGGAGGGTAATTGTGATGTGGGGAAGTATACTGAAAACTAGTTTTTATTTAGCAATTGCCTTGAGCTGAAGCTCAAAGACACCAAACGTGGAGAAACATCAAACATACCAAAGTCATAGGTTCTGATGAACTTGGAGTGTTTTCACTTATAAAAACTTATAGATGCCCATGAGAAGTCCATATCTTAATGTCTTTTGTCAAAAATATTCAATGTGTCCCTTAACTTATTTTGAACGTATTTTAAACATTACAGTCTAGTTTGTTAGCCTTTACCCTAGATGCAAGTGCAAAAATTCTAATATCTTCTTCCAAGACTCAATCTGAGCAACAGCGTGAGCTTTGAGCTGTCCACCTCCCAAAACAGGTAGCCCTAAGATGGTATCCAGGGCTGCAGAGAAAAAAGGGCTGTAAGGGGGGTCTATTCTGTGGCCAGCATTAGGATAGTTTAAGAGAGTAAAATTTGTCTTCCCATGCTCTGTAAGGTGCTTTGCAGCTATGGCAGCATAAACTGAGCTCTTCCAATGTTTGTCATCCTCTCCAACGATGAAAAGGAAATGGGCACTGGCTTTTTCAAGGGGGATTCGGCTTTCCTGATACGCTGGATTCAAGGGGTCCTCCAGTGCTTCTTTGACATCATATACTCCTGATTCAGTGACAGAGATTTTGTCCAGGTTGAAAGGTAGTCCTGGCAGGATGACTCTACCACATGTCAGGGCAGTAGCTGTGTTAGAGATGCAGCCATTGATACTCACAACTGCACCTATATTGGGGAGGAAACTAGCCATGGAAACTGCCAACTCTGCCCCTTTGCCAGAACCAATCACTCCAATGTTTGGACCTTTGACCTGGAGATTGAAGAAAAAGAAGACAAGCAAGGAAAGAGAGAGAATAAAAACATGATTGTTGATGCAATCACAAAGTCCTCGAAAAAAAGTTTTTAATGTATTTATCAGATATGTCATTTATGTATTTATCCATTTATCATTAATTCATTCAGTAATTCCCTTAACAGATATTTTTACTGATATTTCCCAACCCATGAATACCACTTTCTTTATTTACTTTCTCACAACCCTAAAGAATTAATTTTAAACACATTTATCTCTATCGTCTCACTTACCTTTGGGTGAGTTTGCACAAATTGAGCTGCCTCCTCAAAGTAATCTAAATTTAAGTTCTTCATTTTTGGAGGTAGATCTTCATAGCCAAAAAATGGCAAAGCCAGAGTAGCAAAGCCTCGACAAGCCAGGAGACTTGCTCGAGATACATTTAATCCTCCATCACCAAACATATCAATCAAACCAGGAAAAGGACCATCTCCTATAAACCAGGAAAGGGGTTAATCTTGGATTAGATGACAGAACAGTAAATGGACTGTGATACTCAGCTAATACTTTCTAATACAATTCTAACCATGTAACTTATCTTTTTTCTTTTTTTTAAATATCTATTTGCTGTGAAAAGAAAACAGCTTTTTGAGTTGAAACAGGTTTATTATTCTGAGTGAAATAGACATTTGCCTGGGCTATTTTGTAAAATATTTTTATATTTTCCCATAAAAAAAAAAATCACTGAAGGCGGCTTCCCTGGTGGCAAAAGGGATTAAGTGCAGCACTATGAAACAACACACAGCCACTGCAGCATGAGTTCAATCCCTAGCTGACCCACATGGCACAATAGACCTCTCCTGTCTCGCCCACTGCTTCCCTCAGCAGTGTACTTATACAATCTGCCTGTTCTTCTCCCTACTCTGTCTCTGGTGAGTGCTCTCATTGGCCCTGCACCTCTGGCCTGTACTCCAGTTCTGTATGCATAAATAAATAAATCTTTTAAAAAATTAGATAAACATCAAGCATTTCTGGGTTTAAGATTAGTATGAAATAGGGTATAAATCAGCTGGGCTTTCAAAAATAAGCAGACTCAATGATTTCATTGATTGATTTGCTCAGCATTGTTTATGAAATTCCTAAAAAGTCAGAAGTTGGAGCTCAAAGATTATGCACCTTAATTTTAGTAACATCACCTAGCTGTTTAATTTGTTTTAAACACTTTAGACTTCTAGTTTCCTCATTTACAAGTTGTTCTTTCACCTATGAAATAAGCAATAAAAGTTTTCTCATTATGGTTAACATCTCCAAGACACTAGCGTATGTCAAACAGCAAAAAGATGATGATTAATATTTTAAAAAATAACTTTTATCCTAACATGAAAACAGTATAAAAGTGAATATAGCAAGACTCAATCATTCTGGGGCTTGAACAGATTCTAGTTAAAGATACTCACTTTCACTAAATTAACACAAAGAGCACTGTCTGGTAGAGATAAACAAATAAGCACTTAATATGAAAACCTTTACAGCAATTTATGTTTAGTATAGCAGGCAAGCAAGGTGCAAGCTCGCAGGGAATAGTCTGCTGCACTAGAAGTTTGGATGGAGGCAGCTTGCTGGCAGCAAAACGTTACGCTAGGAAATTACATTTAGGTTTCAGTTACCATTGATAGGAATGTCCTACCTGTGTCTAGGCAGCAAAATAAAGGCTTTAAGTTACTCGCTTTGCTTGTAACTAGCAAAGCAAGCCAGCTTCATAAGTCACTTCCTTAAATTCCCTGCAAGGTACTTTACAGAAATGGTATCACGCACCTGGGGGCAACAGGAAGACGCCCCGCAGGCGGCCGGTTTGCAGCCGAGTGCGGCTCAATTCCGGGCAGGCGAACCAGCGCTGGACCTGGACAGAGGCTAGCGCGGGGCCCAGCTGCACCCTCGGCTGCCCGGACAAGTGGTGGACAGTCACCTCCACTTTGAGGGGGTTTTTCATTACGCCCCTCGGCATCTGGCTGAGGAGATCCCCCGAGCAGGCCGGCGTGAGACTCCACAGCAGCCCCATAGGCTCCAGGCCAGTGAAGTCACCGCCCAGAGCCGGGTCCCTGGCCAAGTGCAGGGTCCCCTGGACGTCCGCCTCATAGTGAGCGAACGAGTGGAAGTGGCGGCCTCGGTGGCTGACGGCCGATGCCCGCAGGGTCACCCGCTCCCTGGGGCCTAAACCTTCCACTTTAATATCCAGGAGCTCGTCAGCCAGCCCAGTCTTGGGCGTGACGGTCAGGGTCGTGGTCTTTTGGGAGAAAAGTGATGATGTGAACAACCACCTCCAGGGCTGCAGTGGCCTTCCAGGGATTCGGAGCGCGGCCCGCGCCGTCCCCAACATGGCTCCGTGATCTTTGCGACTTTGACCCCAGCTAAAACGACGTGGCCTAGGGACCTCGGGACGCCGAGTCAGCGCTCCCGCGACAGGTCCCCGCGGGGCGGGCCTGAACGTGGTGGGGAGGGGCCTGAGCGGAGCGGGGCGGGGCGGAGCCTGAAGGGGCGTGGCTGGCGGACACCCGGACCTGGCGTGGTCCCAGTGGCGCCGCTTAGGTAATAGCTAAGGGCAGCCAGAAGGGGCTACTTTGGAGGGCCCGGGGTCTGGAGCCCTGCCTCTGGAGCTCCAGTGGTGGGGCGACCCGAAAGGGGCATGGGCTGCCCGTCCTCCAGCCTTCTCCTCGACTTAAGAGAACTTAATGATTTCAGACGATAAATGCTGGCCGGTCATTTCTCTAAAAGCCATCTCTGGCCCCAGGGGATATGTTAATAGTTCCCTAAACCTGATTGAAGGAGCTCAAAAGGACCAGGTTCCTGCCAGATTCCTTTCCTTCCTAGACTTTGTTTTTGCTCCAGGTTAAGAAAGAATGCCAAGGTCAAAGTTTAAACGGGTCAAATGAGACAGCACTACAGAGAGATAGACTGGAAATTTTCTATTGTCCTGTGACTTGACACAAATATTTAAAATGTGGAGAAAAGGCATTAAATTCAAAACATAAAACCATATTTTTTTAATTAAAACACCTATTTCTATGTGTATGCATACAAAATCATTCTGGAAGGGTATACTTCAAGTTTGTAAATTGGAGAAGACGGGTCAGGTAATGAATTAGACGCTTCTATCTGTATTACTTCTACAATGAAGTTTGCACTGACATGGGTAATTTTTTTTTTTTTTAAAGATTTATTTATTTATTCATACAGAACTGGGGTACAGGCCAGAGGCTCAGGGACGGTGAGAGGCTTCACCAGAGACAGAGTGGGGAGCAGAACAGGCAGATTGACGAAGTACACTGCTGAGGGGAGCAGCGGGCGGGTCAGGAGAGGTCTGGCTCGCCATGTGGTCTCCTCCGGGGCAGGCGGCAGGCGGGAATCGAACTCATGCGGAAGTGGCTTCAGATTCTCAGTGCTGTGCTTTAACCCGCTGCGCCACCAGGGAGGGCCGACATGGGTAATTTAAAATTTGTTTCCCACTATAGAATCCTATCTTAAACTGTATTTGTAAAATGAGATAAACTAACCCAGGTGAAAACATTCCATTAAACAGTTATGCTCCAGGGTGTTATCTATAAATGTTGAATTTTAAAAAATCTATTTTCAAATATGCTATCCTATTTACCCCATAAATAACATCGTAATTGTTATGAGTGCTAATTTACATACTGAAAATATTTATCAATAGACCAAGAATTTCTTGTTAGAGTTATACAACAATCTGTTTTCTTTGAATGTCACTTTCTTGTTAATAAAGTCCCTATCTTTGGAGAAAATGTATTTATGGCTGTTCCCCATTTTTAGAAAAACTCAACTAATTTTGACTTCTGTGCCCAATCCATCACTACAGTGGCCATTAATGTTGGAATTTATGTATATGTGCATGCTAAAATGAAATGTCTTCCACAGCTTTAATCTTCGCAGGGTTTAAATACAAAGAATTATGGACCCTCCCTGGTGGCAAACAGGTTAGGACACAGCACTGCAAGCTAGCACAGTCACTTCAGCGCAAGTTCTATCCCCAGCCCCTGAGGTGACACACATGGCGCAGCAGACCTCTCCTGTCTCACCCACTGCTCCCTGGGACTCCCCTCAGCAGTGTACTTTGTCATTCTGCTCCCCACTCTGTCTCTGGTGAGTCCTCTTACCACCTCTGCATCTCTGACCTGTACCCCAGTTCTGTATGCATAAATAAATAAATTTTTTAAGAGATACAAAGAATTATGAATGAAATCTTAGTGTTTTCAACTGGCTAAAGTATGTAAGACGTTTATTAAAATATTTTTTAATGATCAGTGTTAACAAAAACAAATATTTGCTTTCAAAATGATCCACCTGATTTTCCAACCTAATGGAAAATTACATTCAAAGGTAGATAGCCAAAGGAAAGTAAAATAATGCACCTGACTTGGTTATATTTTCTTATTTGTTGTTTTTTTAAGAATCTCAAATTAAATTTGTTAAGTTCAACTGCTTTGAGTCACTAATCTTTAAGCAAGAATTAGTTACTTGAAAAAATAAAATCAATGCACTAAAGTCCTTTATTCCTCATATTAAATCTGTTCTTCAATTTGACTTGGAGACTCCGTTATATGACCCTAATTCACCCCTTACTTCCCAGTAGTCCTCATCTTGTAGCTCTGTGCTTCTCCAGAAGGCAGTAGAGCAAAATGATCAGTCAAGGTCATGGGCTCACACAAACCAGGCATGTTTCTTAATTTTTGTAGGTCTCAATTTTCTCAAATAAAATAGTAAAAGCTAATATTTGAGTGTTTAAATATGTCAAGTGTTTGATTTGAATTATCTGATTTAATATCAACAGCCCAATGAAGTAAGTTCCTATTATTATCACTATTAACTATACTTACTTTATGGATGGAGGAAATGGAGGCTTAAAGAGGTTAATAGCTTACCAAAGTCACATAGTTAATAAGTGATAGAGTCTGAGATTTCTAATTACTATCAAGGCACGTTGTGGGTATTACCATTTATATCACTAATAATTCTTTGTATGCAGTCTTTCACATAAACTGATTTCTAAGCTTTGCTGGTTTTTTTTCCCCCTTCATGATTGCTATAAATGTAGTGTAACTAGGTTACATTTTCTTTCTTCTACAAAATTCTAGAAAATGTGACTGAAGGACTAGCCCAAACAAGACAAGTGTATAGGACTTTAAAATAAACACTATTCTACTAGCATAATTTCTGACTCCATGTTATGGATACCCTTTCTCTGTTTCCCTTCAAATTCACAATGTTTTTTACCATATTTGTAACAATCTGAAATCATTCTTAAAACAAAACCTTTAAGACAGATGGCAACAAATAGTCAACTCTGATGGGATGTGACCAAATATTTTCAGTCAGTGCAGAGCACTACTAGACTATTGTATCAGTAAGGAAGAAATGGAGGTTTAGGCTGATACACACTGGTGCTTTAGTACCTGGAAATGTGGTAGCTTCTTGTGCTACCTTTTCACTCTGCTTTTCTCACTCACCCTGTCACTTTCCTTGCAATTTCTTCCTGTGATCTCCCATTTCCAAAGGCATCTCTAAAATAGTAGGACCACCCAGGGTGAGTTAAAGTAGTCTCTTAGAATTTGTAACAGGGCCCTCCATGGTGGCACAGCGGGTTAAAGCACAGCACTAAGAAGCTTAAGCCACTTTCGCATGAGTTTGATCCCCCCTTGCCCCGGAGGAGATCCACATGGCAGACCTCTCCTGACCCGCCCGCTGCTCCCTTCAGCATTGTACTTTGTCCATCTGCCTGTTCTGCTCCCCACTCTGTACCTCGTGAATCCTCTCACCCTCCGCATCTCTGCCTGTACCCCAGTTCTGTATGAATAAATAAATAAAAATCTTAAAAAAAAAAAAAAGAATTTGTAACCTAGAAAATTATACTACACAGTATACTACACAGTGCTCAGCCTACTTTTAATGATCAATTCAATTAAATTACCAATGAAGAAACCCATCTTTTCATTAGTGTAACTCTAACTCTCATTAGTGTAACTCTAATTAGTGTAACTCAAATTGGTGAGAGATATTCAAGGTCACCAGCAAGTGAAGTGAGATGCCTGAGTTTTCAGAAAAGCCTTCTGTACTTAGGGAAGATCCTCTGCTCTGGTCTTCTATGACTCCAAGTGGTGCTGTAACAGGATGCTCCCCAGGAAAAGGGGAGAGTCCTGGTTCCCTGCCCCACCCAGAAGGAGGCTGGAGCTGAGCAGAGTAAAGAATCTGGAGAGGAGACTGGAGAGGAAGAAGGAAGCAGGATGGAGAGCCAGAAGGTGACCTGAGGGAGCCACATGGAGCAGAGAGACATGTGAAGAAGTGGCTCTTGTGTCTTGGTCCTGGACTGGTTGAAACATATCTGGGTGAGAGACCCATGGCAGTTTAACCATGACAGTGTTTATCCTGATTTTGATTTTGCTCTTTTCTTCCCATATTTGTCTGGCCATTTCTGACCATTTTTCATGGGTCCCTGCCAGGGATGCTTTAGGCTTGTGGCAGTCTTTCAGGCCTTGCTTTGGGCCAATCCCTTCTGGGTGGACTTTTACCCATGAGGATGGGTAACTTTGGGTGTTTGATTTAGAAACTATATTCTTTATCTTTTTCTGTATTGCACACTCATTGTATTAAATTCCTTTCCATTAAAGGTCTTATATGTTTTGTCTTGATGCGGCGGATGACAGAACCTATTTAGAGCAGTCAGGTGTGGGGGCTCAGGGTTGTACCTCTCTCCCTGCCCTGTAACAATGCCTTGTACAATGCCATGGGATAGGGTACCCATCACAATTCCTCTAGGCAGGAAGGTAACTAGAATAGATGGTGCTAGGAGGAAGTATGATTTGGCAGATACAACATAGGATGTAAAGATTAAGATGAGGCCTAAAGGGTATAGGCCCCAAGTCTGTTGGCATTAAGGCATTCCTCTGGCAGGCAAGAACTATACAGATATTGGGAATCTGGAATAGACAGTAAGCATAGAGGAAGTATATCAACAAGTACAATGCCCCCAATCTTCAGAGTGGGGTTCCGAGATAAGTCTTTCTGAATATGTGCAAGAAAGAAGAAAGCAGCCTATTTCTTAAGGAATCTGAGTGAGCAAGTTTTTAAGGCTCAGACATGGCCAGTCAGGGCCCAAAGGAGAAATGGGACTCAACAATATCATCCAGTCTCTCAGAATGAGAACACAAGGCTGAAGATAGGCCAGCAATTGAGAGTTAGGCAAACATATTTTATATGTCTTCCCTTACGACTGGTCCTACAAACCCTGGTCCAGGGTTAACAGTATATATTGGGTAAAATTCAGAGAAGAAAGGAGCACACCCAATGGTGAAGAAAGGAGTGTTTAAAAGGCTGAGAACATAGTAAGTTCTGACAAAGAAGCCGAGATATTTGGTTTGTTAAAAAAAGTTTTTTTAGGTACTATAGAAATCCAAGTATGTACAGGAACCTGAATTTTATTAGTGTATCTGGCCCGTGGTTACAATATTATAGTCTGCTAGGCTTAACAGACTTTTTATCATTGAGATGTTTCCGGAAGAAAGTTTGAATTTGCTGCCAGGCATCTACCTGTGCTCTTGAGTGAGCCCTTGGCTCTCCCCCATAAAACACTGGTTGGTTCAGCACTCCATGCACAGAAGATATAGAAGGAGGAAAGTAAGGTGGGTCAATACAATGACCAGTTCCTGAGTAGCAGATTATCTGGGGTCTGTTTTTCCCATGGGCTTGTAACCGTTCAGAGGCTATCTGAGCATAGAAGTCACTCTTCCAGCTCTGATCATCCATGCCCACAATAAACAGGAAGGGCCCCTGGGCCTTTTCCAGTGGAATAAGACTTTGACTGTTGGGTTCCTCCAGGGGATTGTCCCAAGTATCCATAAAATCAAAAAGGCCTGATTCAGTGATTTTATGTTTCTTTAAGTCATAGTCAAGACTAGGAATAGTCATATCCTTGTAATGCAGAGGCACCATTGTGTTGGCCACACAGGTATTGATAAGGACCGTAGCTGTGATGCCTTTCAAGAAAGAGGCCATTGAGAGACACAGATCACCTCCTTTGGAGAAACCAAGAAGCCCAATACTGGGGCCTTTCACCTGGTGGAGAAAAAGAGAACAAACCAGAATTTTTAAATAGGAATGTCAACAGTAATTTTTATATTCTGTAGGAAGTTTTCTGAAATGTCATTTGCTTACTTTATGCAACAATACTCAAAGTTTAATAATCAAATCAAATGATTTCCTAGTACAAGGACCTTTCACTAACATTGTTAAAAAGATTTTGTTATTCTACTTTTTTATATATATATATATTTTCATTAACATTTATAGGGAATGAGTCAAGAGTATATACAGAAGCCCATAAATCCTATACCTAATTTTTAAAAGTTATAAATCAAATGAAAAAATTGTTAAATAAAATATATTTTGTGTGCATGTGTAAGCCTTTGTTTATTATTTGGTGGGTAGGGGTACTTTCTACTTCTTTTCATAACAAATTTGCATATAAAATATTATTTTTCCTATTTACACATGATGAAACAGACCCTGAGTCTATTTCATAAAGTATATTTTTTATCCTACTTTGATAAACATACCTCCCAACAATGTATAGGGTCAGGTTCAAGATTTTAAATTTGAGAATTCCTGAGAGTTATTTACTACAATGTGGCATTGGGGAGAGCCAGCCCCTGTCTAGTGCCTAGTACCTAACCCATCCCTGGCCCTGTCAAGAACCTGTCAAGTGCCTCACATTCATGTGGACACCCCATATTACATGTTTAAAGCCTGAGTGTATTCACATTGACAGACAAGCCCACAGATGAGGCAAGGACCTGGAAGCCATCCATACATTTCAGCAGAAAATTCTGGGATTCCAGATACAAAGGTAGGAGTGGGGGGTGGGGAATGGTGTCAGGCCAGGCCTGCAGTTCCAGGTGGACACATTCCTTTGGTCCCTGCACCAGTGGACAGGGCTAAGACCAAAGGAAAGTCTAAGTTTGGCCATCTAAAGTCAATGAGCCAAGGCAAAACCTCTTACTAAGATTAAGGGCAGAATTGATAATATATATATTGGTTTCTTCTTTTTCCCACAGCCTCATCTCCCCTAGATAACCAACCACCACAATTGAATACTGTCTAGCTCTGCTAAGTGACCCATTCCCTGAATTCTAACAGTTAGACCCTTTGCAGTCTACTAACTATATTTTACCATTAGAATATTTGGGTCACATTAAGTCTAAATAGTAGCAAATAATCTGTATACCATTTATAATCATATCAAAATTTTTTAATTTCCTCCAGTCTCAAATAGGAACTTTCTCTACAAAAGCATAATACCATTGTCATACCTAACAAAATTAATGACTCCTTAATTTCATCAAATGCAGTGTACCCATTCAAATGGCACCAGTTATCTAAAAAAAGTCAAAGTTTTCCCTGTACACATTTACCTTAATCTTACAAGTAAGAAAAACTGAACACCAGAGGGGTCAGCTCCCTTACTTAGGATTATAAGGTCACTTGGTAGAACATGCAAAACCAGAACTGAAGGTTAATAACTATTAGTCCAGCTAAGGGTTGAATTATGGTCAGGAATTAAAGAAAACTAAGCAGTCAAATCTTATGGTGTTGAAAGAAAGGCAGAAGTGGAAATAAAAATCTTAGTAATCTTAAGGGAGTATTTGTATCTCAGGGCATATTTCCAGACCCTGGTGTGCTGGAGGACTTTTGGATTCGGTACCTCTGTATTCAGGTGAGCACCGGAACTTACCTTTGGATGTCGTAGCATGAAGTCCACAGCTTCTTCAAAGTACTCGAGTTGCAGATTACTCAAATTTTCAGGGAGGTCTTCAAATCTGAAATAAGCCAGAGCAAGCACAACAAAACCATGTCTGGCCAGGAGGCTGGCCCTGTACTCACAGAGGCCACCACTACTTCCAAACAGATCGATGATCCCAGGGAACGGTCCTGTGCCTGCAAACACCACAAACCATGAGCTTTAAACTCTCAAAAGGCTTCTTGGGTTTCAGATATTGGTGTGGAGCAAGGTGTAACAATGTTTTTGATGTAAAGGGTGGGAGTGGATAGAGGAAGTTTTACTTTTTTTTTTTTTAACAAACATTGGGGAGAAAGAGAGAGAACAATACGCCTTATATCCCCCAAAAAATAACCAAATATAAACTTAAAAAATTAGGAGTAACATGAGATGTACAGCTTCCACCAAATCTTTTTTGTTTTCCTCCTCCCAAAAAAATCTAAGAATGCTTTGAGAACTGAAAGCACTCTGTCTTATATAGGGCTTATTAGGCTATATATTTCATTTCTTATACTCTCTCTGTCAGCCTTAAAGAAAGCCATCTCTAAATGTGCCATATTTCCTTTGGTCCCTGAAAAATGGATTCAGCTGGCCCTTTGTATCTGAGGGGTCTGCAGCTGAGAATTCAATCGATCCTGGATTAGGATGTACTGCATTGTTGGTCTATGATGTTTGTGTCTGTACTGACTATGTCTTGGCTTTTATTTTTCTTCTTCCCTAATCAATACAGTGTAACAATTATTTATATAGCACTTCTATTATAATAGGTACTATAAATAATTAGAGATGATTTAAAGTATACAAGAGGATGTGTATGGGCTATATGCACATACGTGTCACATAAGGAACCTGAGCATTCTCAGATTTAGATATCCATGGTGGTCTGACCCAACCCCTTTGGATATGGGGCACAACTGTCTACAATCTCCTCCCTGCTCCACCTTTCTGGACATGGTTGACTGATTAGTCTTCCCATCTAAATTTAGATCTCCCTTCCTCAAAGTCCTCCAGGATCTCCGCAACGCCCAGTTAAGTTGATGTCTTACATGTTTTCCCCAGTATTCTGGGGCTGTACCTCTCCCTAACAGCACTTACCACACTCATTAAAGGTGCAAGTATTGTTGTCTGTCTTCCACTAGGCTGTGAGTATACTGAGGCTTGTGCAGGACTTTCCTAGTTACTGTATCCTACTATGCAACACAGCCCTTCAATACATATTTGTTAAATGACAGAACCCTTCAACATTAATTGTAAAAAGCTTTGAGGCAGAAAATAATAACTTTCAAATGGGCTAGTGGTACCCCATGAAATAGTTAAGATTGACTTTACTGGAATATTGGCTCCCATGACTGGGTGGTGAAAGTTTTTGTTGCTTTTTGAAATGAAATTCTTTAGATTCTTACACCATTCAGGGTGTTATTTTGAGGTTCTACTAAAATCCTGTGCAAGCCTCTAGAAACCTAAGCTGCTGAGATGAGTTACGCCCAACTCCAGTCCAGGAGTTCACAGTTGAGTGGCTAGCCACCAGTTAAGGCTGTGAATTGCTGAAGAGTTCTAAGAATAAAGCAAATCCTGTTATTTTAGAGAAAAGTCACAGAACTCAGTTTAGGGATTCTGTAAGCTATGGCAACGATGTAGTTTTTGGAGGTGAGTGGATTTGGAGTGCAGGGTCCCTGGGCTCACACTGGGAAGGGTTTCTTCAGAGCTTCCCTTTCAGCAGCATGCGATGAGTTTTCCAGGTGAGTTTCTCCACGAGACAGAGATGTTAGATATATTTAAAGAGCAGGTTTATTAGGGAAAGGGACAGAAAAGAAAAGGATACTTGCATAGATACAAGTGGACAGAAAGAGCTGCCCTGAAAGGGCAGCTTTGCTGAGTCCTGCATGGTTGCAGGCGGGCAGCCTTGAACAGAGCTGCCTCTGCTGAGGGAGGTCAGTGGAGAGAAGCCCTGGCGTGGTACAGGTCATGGGCAGGCAGGAGGCTGCTGCCCTGCAGAGAGACAGAGTTGATGAAAAGCACCTGCAGTCACAGGGGAACAGGACTGCTGCCCAGTACAGAAGCTGCACTGATAGTCATTTTCTCTTTTTCTCCTTTGTGGAGTGGCCTGTTTACTGCTGATTTTGGATACCTATGGGAGATCATAAAGGGACCAGAGAGTCCACAATGGGCCAATGGGTCCAGTGTCCATATCTTTATCCTCAGGTAAGGCAGTCTGATAGCTGCTTGGGTCTTAAGCTTTGTGATAAGGCACTGGAGCCTAGGGACCTTGATTTCGATAGCTGGGTGAATGATCATGTTAATTCCTTCTAATCCCTGTGAGTCAGGTTTTAAACTTGTGATGCTTCCTTTAGGCTTTCTATTTCCTTCATCAGCAACACTAACATTTTTATATAGTAGGGCGTTTGAGTCAGGAATTGGTTGGAAGGAGTAGGTCAGGGTCTAGTTCCCAGGCTGCTTTTTACCTAGCAAGCACCTTGCTTTTATCAGTATTTAGACTAGGATTTCCCTAATGCTGCAGACACTTTGAAGAAATATTTCTGTCCTGTGCATGGTGGATGTTCAGTAGCATCTCTGGTCTCTACCTCCTAGATATTGATAGCAAAACCCTCTCAGTTGTGGTACCCAAAATATCACAAGATATTGCCAAATGTCCCTTGAACTCAAGGCAAGACAAGATTCACCCCAAGCTGAGAAGCACTAACAAACTGTTTAGGATAGGGGGGTGAGGGGAGGGGACATCAGGGTTTTATTTATTTATTTATTTTAAAGATTTATTTATTTGTGCATACAGAACTGGGATACAGGCCAGAGGCTCAGGGGCGGCAAGAGGCTTCACCAGAGACAGAGTGGGGAGCAGAACAGGCAGATCAACGAAGTACACTGCTTAGGGGAGCAGCGGGCGGGTCAGGAGAGGTCTGCCACACCATGTGGTCACCTCCAGGGCAGGCGGGAATCAAGTGGCTTTAGCTTCTCAGTGCTGTGCTTCAACCCACTGCGCCACCAGGGAGGGCCCAGGACTCTATTTTTAATGATCATGGAGCACAGCTTCTCTGTGGTTTAAGTCTCCTTGGAAGTTTGATGAGAAAGGAGACTAAAGTCACTCTTGCGCACAGGCAGAAATCATGGCCTATATCAAGAATCTGACACATCGCGGCGGCTAACACAAAATCTAATGCACTTTCTAGAGTACAATCAAGTTTCCACAGAGCACTGGGAAACTTAAAAAAGAAAAACTTCCACCTAGAATCCATGGTAGACTGAGTATGCGCAGTGGGTCGGGGTGGGAAGCCGGGAACGATTAGGGGTGGGGAGAGGGGGCTAGGAAGTTCCATCGGCTAGGAAGTTCACGTGTTCCCAGGTGAGATGAGGGGCCGTGGGGTCTCGGGACTCGACCGGGTTCACTAGAACAGCCTAGGGAAAGGGTTGCTCACCTGGCGGCAGGAAGAGGGCGGCGCGCAGCCGGCCCGCGCGCACCCGCTCCCGCCGCACTCCGGGCCCCAGAAAGTGGCGCTCGTGCACGGTCCGGCCCAGGAGCCGCTCAGTCCGTGGGTCGTGGCCGTCGAGCACCTCCAGCTCCACCGCGTAGGGCGTCTGCACGTCCCGCTTCAGAAGCCGATGCGAAGGCTTCTCGGGCTCCAGCGCCCAGAGGAGCCCCATGGGCTCGAGCCCCGCGAAGCTGCCCCCCAGCGCGGGCGCGCGCGTCAGGTCCAGCAGGCCGCCGGGGCCGGCGCAGTAGCGCGCGTGGGCCCGGAAGAGCTCGCCCTTCTCGTCGCGCAGGGACGCGCGCAGCGTGACGGGCTGCCCCGGGGCCAGGCCGCTGACGGCGATGCGCACCGGCTGGTCCCAGCAGCAGTGGCCGGCGGGCTCCACCGTCACCGTCACCGCCATCCCGACCCAGCAAGACCGCCGGCGGGACGCCCAGCCAAAAGCGGAAAGCCACACCACAGCCCCACCCAAGGACAAGAAAAGCCAAGCACAAAGCCGCCCCAAGACGACCAGGAGCACCTCAAACCCCTCGACAAACCGCACTGCACAGGGCAAAACCGAAAACACCAGAATGGAAGCCCCGAACGAAGACTTAAGGAGCAAACCCAAAGCCCAGTGTGCAGATCAGCACAAACAACGCAAAGCACAGCAGCCGCAAACCACCAGCACCCATGGGACACAAAGAAAAAGCCCAACAAACGAAAGCTCAAAACAGAGAGAAAGGAGTCAAAGAACCATGACAAGAAGACCACAGCGACCTGGCAAAGGCAACCTAAAAAAAAAAATGAAGTAAAATATACGCCAAAAAAAGTGCCCAACAGCCAAGCCTAAAGCAACAACACCCACAACACAGAAAAGATCCAGAAGCGGGATCACCAACCAGCACAACACCCAAAATCGGCACTTACACTTCACAAAAGCAACGAGAAACGGAGTCCAACAAAACCCCCTACCTGATACCGACGCCACTAAAAAGAAGAGAAATGTCTCCAGTCACATCAGGGAAAAGCAGCTGCCGGGGTGCAGGGGAAAATTCCCAACCTCTTTGGGTTCTTACTGAAATTGCTCAGCAAACAAATTAACATCAGAAAGATTCGTAGGAGATAAAGACTAATGAGTATTATGGAGAAGTTACGTGGCTGCAAATTCCAGAGTAAATGGGATAAAGAAGGTTTATCTTGAGCTAAGGACTGGTTTAGGGAGCGGTCTGGGGGATTAAGGGAGTGAGACTTTACATGACCAGGTAAAGATGACTTCATAGGACAAAAACCTTGCCTCTAGATATTTGCCCTGCTTATATCTAGATGCGGTTTTTAGATAGTGAAAGGTGATTTGTGGAGATGACCCTAAATCTGACTAGTCTTCATTCTTTAAGGTTATAGTAATAGTTTCTCCTGAGGCCCACAGGGTCTCTGTTGATCTTAGTTCCACACAGGGAGATGACACATTGGAAAAAGCCTGCTCTGGACATCTTGGGAAAAACCTATCTGAATATTTTTTAGGTAGGCTGATCCTACCCAGCTAAAAGGAGGCAAGGTCATTCAAAAATGCCCTCCTCTGAGAGATTCTGGACTTAGAAATGCCGTGGAATTAGACATTGTACAGGCCAGCTACCAAGGGCTGCCTGCAGAAGAATCTGCTGCTGTAATAACACACTGCACTAATGAGGAGTGGCTTCATATAAATTCCACTGCTTGTCTAGTGACTAGGTAGAAACTGTAGCATAATACCCAGATATATGACTGTTATCCCCACTATTAAGTGTACAAATTAATCTGTATGTCTCTATTGTAGGCGTGGGGACTTCATGGGTGGATGAAAGCCTTTGCCTCATCTAAGGTAGGAGGTTTCTGGTTATCAGGGGTAATTACACTTCCAGAAAGATATCTGAGAGGCTCCCAGAACTCTTTCATGTTTAGCAAACTACTGTCTTAACAGTTGTAGATTCAATGTAAAAAGGTTGAGCTTCAGAAGCAGTTACTTCGGTATGCTATAACTGAGTAATTTCACTATCTGAATTAGGCTTTAGGATATCTCTTTCGATTCCACCTTAATAGATTATGACATGCTAGAGAATTGAAATATTTTGGAGACAAAAATGAAAGGTAATTCATAAGTCTAAAATGTATAGGAGTTGAAAACAACATTCTAATAAGGTCAATTAAATCACTGGGGTGATTTAGAGTGAACTTTCTATAGAGAACAATGTCAGCCACAGTTATCTCATGTTTAGTTCATATGGTAAAATCCTAATCTCCAGTGTGATAGAATTTGGAGGTGGGGTCTTTGGTCTTTGGAAGGTAATTAGGTTTGGATGAGGTCACAGAGTGAAGTTTTCATGATAGGTTAGAGTCCTTATTTAAAAAATGGAAGAGATGCCAGAGATCCCTTGCTATACCATCTGAGAAAATGGGAAAGAGATAGTTCTCTCTAAGCCAGGAAGAGGACCTCACTGGGAACTGAGTTTCGGAAACTTTGATCATGAGCTTCCCCGCCTCTAGGACTGTAGAAATGTTTATTCCTTGAGACACCCAGTATTTTGTATTGTAGCCCAAGCTGTCTAAAACATAGTGCTTCTTGAATATAAAGCTTGATATCTTTGTCACTTTTGGAAAATTCTCAGTCACTATCTCTTCAGATACACTTGTACAATGTTGTATATGCCTGATGTTGAAATATGAATGTTGAAATCTAAAATTGTCACACTATGATTCCCCAAAGTCTGTTTTTAAGCCAGGAAGCAAGAAGGAAAATCAGAGCAGAGTTTAGAGTTAACCTTTTTTTTTTTTAAGATTTATTTATTTATTCACACAAGAACTGAGGGGTAGGCCAGAGGTGGGGGAGGGGAGGTTCACGTGAGGATTCACCAGAGACAGAGCAGGGAGTAGAATAGGCAGATCTACTGAAACACAACTGCGAAGGGGAGAAGCGGGTGAGACTGGAAAGGTCTGCTGTGCCAGGTAGGTAGTTCCCTGGCAGGGGATAGAACTCAAGTTGCAGTGGTTGGTGAGAATTTGATAGCACTGATTTTAACTCCTGTGCCACTAGGGAGGCCCTAGATTTAACTTCTTTATCTTTACTTTCCAGCAAAGGATTCTTCTCTGACCTCCATGAGGAAAAGGTTAGTTGGCTTTCCTTATGTCAACATCTTTCTGTGCGCTGTTGGTCATTCTGTCAGTCACTGCCAGAAAATTCTATTACTGCCAGGCACAAACAATGAATGTTCATTTTCTCCTGATGATGGAAAATTTAACCCAGTTATTCGTTCAACTTTAAATTTCTCTATAGCTCAAAGTGTTAAGTAAAAAACTCAAGATGAAAACACAAATTTTAATAGTAGAAATACTTAAATACTTTTTACCTTTTGGTGTTGTATACCTCTCGTTGATCTTTTGCAGTAGGCATATGTTGTAAGTGAAATTAATGGAAATAATTTATTCGAAAAAGTTATCTAAAATACATCATTAAAACCAATGACATGGATTTAATATTATCCAGAGAACAACTGATTGACATAAGATTATTAAGCATCTTAAATCTCTGTGTCAATAAGATCAAAACATTACAATTTGGAGTAAGCTCTTTTCTGGGTACCACCAAGGTGTTTGTAGAAGAAGTTTAGAATTTGCTCCCAAGCATCTACCTGGGCCTTAGAATGAGCCCTGGGCTCCCCACCCCAGATCACACGTTGGTCTATTAGTTTGTGCAGAGAAGCTGGGCACATGGGGAAATAAGGAGGCTCAATGTAATGCCCAGTCCCAGGGTAAGAAATGATCTGGGGTTTTTCCTTTCCATGGGCCTGTAACCGTTCAGAAGCTCTTTGGGTATATAAGTCACTCCTCCAGTTATGATCATCCTCACCAGCGATGAAGAGGATGGGCCCCTGGGCCTTCTCTATTGGAATCATGCAGGGGTTCTCACACCCTCCAACAATATCATTCCGTATATCCACAATGTCCAGGAGACCTGAGAAAGCTACCTTGACTCTCCTCACATCATGGCCCAAAGGTGGGATGCTAGTCTGCTTGTAGTGTATGGGTCTACTTGCAGTGAATCCAGATCCATTGATGGAAACTGTGGCTGAGATATTCTTCAGAAATGAGGCCATGGAGAGACAAATATCAGCTCCCAAAGAAATGCCCAGAAGCCCAATGCCTGGGCCCTTTACCTGGAAAAAAAAAAAAAAGACAGAGAGAGAAAAGACAAGAGTCAAGAATCTACCCAACAGAAAAATGCTACTACAGACTCTGCTATCTCTAATTTGTGAATTGGTCACAAGAGAGTCAATCTCAGTTGATAGAAGAACTTCTTCCCACTTAAAGTATATCTAGCCAGGCACATGGCAAACAAATGTTAAAACTCACTGGCAGACTTGGGAATTGGTTATAAACCAGAGACTCATACACTAGAGAATGCTGAGTCATGAAACCTGGTTAGGGTTAGGGTTTCATCAGGTGGGTATGATCAAAGTCTCAGTGTGCTTGGGTCGCTGTGTGGAAACAACTTTTCTTTTCCAAGAAAAGTTGAATCATTTATCAGACTCCATCTAAATATATCCTCAAATGATTAACTTTGCAGAAACAAAATAAGACTTCAGAATCTAATAAAGTAGTTCTTAGTTTTTGAAATGGGTGGGCAAGTTCAGATCAAAATCTGATATCAGAATTTTATAAAAACTTAAAAATAAGCATGCAATGGACTCTCCCTGGTGGCACAAGGGATTAAAGCACAGCACTGTGAAGCTTTCTGTAGCCATTGTAGCACAAGTTCAATCCCTGGCCAGGGAGCTAGCTGATCCACATGGTCTGGCAGACCTCTCCTGTCCCACTCGCTGTGCCCATCAGCATTGTATTTCAGGCTACCATTTCTGCTCCCCACTCTGTCGCTGGTGAATCCTCTCACGCCCCCTACCTCTGGCCTGTACCCCAGTTCTTGTATGCACAAATAAATAAATCTTTTTTTTAAAAAAGCATGCAGGCATACACAGGTTTCAGGGATTCTGGATACTCAGCAACCAAAAAAAAAAAGAAACACATGTCTTTTGCAGCAACATGGATGGAGCTGGGAAAGATCATGCTTAGTGAGATAAGCCAGAAAGAAAAGGAAAAGTACCAGAAGGTTTCTCTCATAGCAGGAATATAACGGAACAGAGGAGACAATAATGATAATGATGAACAGCTATATACCAGAGACATTTTGTGGGGGTGGAGTAGGGAATGGGATCAAAAACAGTGGGGGGAGGGAAACGCACTGGATTATGGTAATGCACATGGGTGATTTGATGATGGGAAGCCCAAGGGGATTAGGCCCAAAGAGCTACCTGGGCCTTTATTTATGCAAATGAGATAGGAAAATGCACAAAATGATGTAAAAATAAACTATTATTTAAAAAAAGAAGCATGCAGGGCCCTCCTGGTGGTACAGTGGGTTAAAACACAGCACTAAGAAGCTAAAGCCACTTCAGCATGTGTTTGATCCCCACCCTGGAGGTGACCCACATGGTGCGGCAGACCTCTCCTGACCAGCCCTCTGCAACCCTCAGCAGTGTACCCTGTCTGCCTGTTCTGCTCCCCACACTGTCTCTGGTGAATCCTCTCACTGCCCGTGCACCTCTGTACCCCAGCTCTGTATTCATAAATAAATAAATCTTAAAAAAAAAAAGCTACTTAATTAGAAATTCTACTTGCTGAATAAAAGGAATTTTTGCCCAAAGATCTACCTGGGCCTTTATTTATGCATACAAGAACTGGGGTACAGGCCAGAGATGCATACAAGAACTGGGGTACAGGATAAAAGAATTCACCAGACAGAGTGGGGAGTAGAACAGGTAGATCTACTGAAATACACTGATAAGAGGAGCAGTGGGTGAGACATTAATCTGACAGAGAAAGTGGAAACAGACAACTGAAGCCAAAGAAGTCTCCAAACAAAATCTGGGAATGTGCACAGCAACATCAGTGTACCTGGCACATGAGTGCAAACAACACCTTCCCTAGAGATAGTTCTAGAAAGAATGATAAAATTAATGACATTGGCAGAACCTGGGAGTGTTGAAGCATGTAGCAAAGGGCTTCTTCAAAGTAGTCCAGGTGGATGGTATCAATATTCTTGGGGAGATCTTCAAAGTCATAGTAAGCCAAAGCCAAGGTGGCAAATCCATGGCCAGCCAGAAGGCTGGCCCGATATTCCAACAGGCCTCCTCCAACACCAAAGATGTCAATGATCCCCGGGAAAGGTCCAGGCCCTAGAGAATGGAAAATCATAAAAGAAGATATTCTACCACCTAAAGAATTTGCTTTCCTTTCGGAGATCCTTCTATTTAATGAGTGTCTGTGATCAGAAGAAAGAAAACAGCTCTTTGAATCACTATTGAAAGGGATCCAAGTTCCATGGGGATAGAAAGTCTCCAAGATAACTTTGCTTCGAAGAGTTTACTCTCCATACAATTCTGGGAAAGTGATCTGCATGATTCTAAGAACCTTTAGCTGTGAGGAAGAATAATAAAGTCTTTCATTAATAACTACATCCTGAAAGGAGAAAATCCATGTGTTCCTTTAGAAACAGAGAATTAACTATCTTGAAACAAAGCTTTATGTGATGTTGCATTACCCCTTGGTTTGTGTGTGTGTGTGTGTGCACTGATAAGTCAGATGTTTACTTTGTAAGAAGAAAGAAAAAAAAGTACTCAGTATGGAGTTAGGCAAGGAAGACAGTGAAATATGACCTGTGCATAAGGGGTACATGAAGAAGTGGAGAGGGAGCCCAGAGGACCCAGGACACTAGAGAAGAGTGGTATGGCAAAGCTTTCCTGACCATCATTCAGTGGATACTGCCTGGTATAGCTGATGCCTGTAGTGACCTGAGCATGGTTATTAATAGGAGAGTGGACAGCATGCCTCGGTTTTTCAATCTTCAGGAGGACAGTACTCACCTCATTGGAATATTATAGTTGCGATCTGCAAGCTAATGCAAACAAAACGCACAGCACTGAGCCTAACATATCAAAATCCTCTAGTTCAGTAAAGTGATTTCGTCAGCTTCACTAGACAGTTCTCCACCCCCACCCCCACCCCCCGAGTCAAATACCGCTTGAAGAAGTTTCTGAAGGCACCCGCGGCCCCGACGCGCGCGAGCTCACAGGCCCCACGGCTCACCTGGCGGCAGGAAGAGGGCGGCGCGCACCCGGCCCGCGCGCACTGGTTCTCTCCGCACTCCGGGACCCAGAAAGTGGCGCTCGTGCACGGTCCGGCCCAGGAGCCGCTCAGTCTCTGGGTCGTGGCCGTCGAGCACCTCCAGCTCTACAGCGAAGGGCGTCTGCACGTCCCGCTTCAGAAAACGCCAAAACGGCTTCTCGGGCTCCAGCGCCCAGAGGAGCCCCATGGGCTCGAGCCCCGCGAAACTGCCCCCCAGCGCGGGCGCGCGCGTCAGGTCCAGCAGGCCGCCGGGGCCGGCGCAGTAGCGCGCGTGGGCCCGGAAGAGCTCGCCCTTCTCGTCGCGCAGGGACGCGCGCAGCGTGACGGGCTGCCCCGGGGCCAGGCCGCTGACGGCGATGCGCACCGGCTGGTCCCAGCAGCAGTGGCCGGCGGGCTCCACCGTCACGGTCACCGCCATCCTGGCCTTGCAATGCTGCTGGGTGGACTCTGAGCTGGAAGCTGCAAGCCAGGCCACAGTCGCGTTCCAGGGCGTGAGAAGTCGGGCACTGAGCCGCGCGAAGAGGTGCGTGAGCACTTCAGACTCGTGGACAAGCGGCTCTGGACTTGTCAGAAGTGAAAACACCAGGCTGTCTTCCTCTAACGAGGCCTTCAGGGGCGTCCTGAAATCTGGGTGTGGCGCTGAGCCCTGCCCCCTGGAAGCTTCTCTGCCTCCAACCACCTTCACTCATTGGAGTGAAAGTTATTGGGTAATCCACTGGAGGTGAAACCAGAGATGAAGGAGTTAATGCAGCATTCCAAGAATTTCAGCGCTCCCTGGTAAGGGCAACTTAAAAAAAACTATTAATTAAAATGTACGTGGAAAAAAGTGCCCAGGTTCCAAGTGTACAGCAGCTATACCTACAACCCAGCAGAGATCCAGAAGCGTGATTACCAGTGCTCAGCATTCCCACTCTGGGCACTTTCCCTTTCCCAAAGCAACTCTACCCTGATTCCAAGAAAATGGGCTAGGTTTTCCTGACTGCATTTTATGGCAATGGATCCTTCGGGGGGGGGGGGGTCTTCTTTAGTGTCTGTTTGCTTTCCCACAAAATGTTTTTGTGATGCTCATTAATATTTTGGGGCGTAGTTGTAGATTATCTATTATCACTGCTAAATAGTATTCCATTTGTGATGATAAAATAATTTGTCAATTCGGCTGCTAGTGGGCATTTGGTGGTTTCCAGACTGGGATTATTATGAACACCCAAAAAACTGTCTTTGGTGGACATATGTGCGTTTCAATGGGGTTTATACCTGAGAATGGAATTGTTTTATCAGAAGGACTTAGAGTGTTTATTTAGCCTTAGAGCATACTAAAAGTCAACCTTTTGAATGTGACCCTAGAAACGGTATAAGTACAGTGTTCAGGGACTTTGTATTTATCATTATAATAGCTACACTGTCAATGTCTGACATACAAATTTAACATGTTCATAAAACATTGGGGCTATTTTCCACTGAGGAACCTGAGGCTTGGAGAATGTTAAATTAAGGCTTGCTCTCTAAATGTCAAAGCCTTGACTAACTTCAAAAGTGAAACGCAAAGGTGAGCAGCAGCTCTGTGGTGAAATATAATCAGCACTGACTAGTTCTGTGGCCTTAAGCAAATTTATTATTTCTCTGGGTCTCAAGAATTCTTGTGCAAGGTGATAAAAGCCTCCCATGCGAGAATCAAAGTTTATTGTGAGTTTTAGCAAGAATATTATTGTAAAGCAAAATGTAATGTTTCATTTCATGATAGCGAGAGACTGAGCCCATGTCTGGTTTTTTCTCACATGTGTCCATAGGTTTGCATATTGATTATTAAACTGCTCTATGGGACAAAAGTCACAATTTTCTGTAACAGATGTGAGCAACACTGAAAAACTTAAATTGTGAAATGACAGTCTCTTCTCTCTCCAGTTCCCTATGTCCCCTAAAGATAGGTGCATCCTACTAGACTTTTTCCCTGTATGTTTCCAGTATGTAAGTATATTCAGAGTGTGACCAACACTACTATTTTGCAACTTGCTGACCTGTTTTCATTTTTCTGTCTATACTCAGGGGTAGAATTGATGGGTCATATGGTAACTCTACATGTAGTTCTTTTGAGAAACTGCCAGACTGTTTTCCAAAGTGGATATTCCATTTAATAACCTCAGGAGCAGTATATGAAAATTTAAACTTCTCCACATGCTTACCACATCCATTCTTTTTGTTATAGACATCTTTGTGGGTAATAGTTTTGATTTTCATTTTTTGGATGGCAAATGATGTTAAGCACATTTTCATGTACCTTTTGGCCATTATACATCTTGAGAGAAAGATGTCTATTCAGAACCTTGTCCTTTTTTTTTTTTTTTTCCTGGTTAGGTTGTCTTTTTTATTTTAGAGTTTAAAGAGCTCTTTATGTATTCCAGTTGTAAGTCCCTTAACAGATATATTATTTGCAAGTATTTTCTATCATTCTGTGAGTTGTCTTCTCATTTTAAAGTGGCAAACTTTGATGCTAAACATTTTTAGTTTTGATAAAGTCCAATTCATCTATTTTCACTTTTGCTGCTTACACTTTAATATCAAACCATTGCCTAGTTCAAGGATTTACTGCTATCTTTTCAGTTAAGAGTGCTATGAGGTACCCTCCCCTGGTGGCGCAATGGGTTAAGGTGCAGCACTTCAAAGCTAGCCACAGCTGCTTCAGCACAATTTCAGGCCCCTTCCAGGGAGGTGACCCACATGGCACAGCAGACCTCTCCTGACCCACCCCCTCAGCAGTGTACTTTGTCTGTCTGCCTGTTCTGCTCCCCATTCTATCTCTGGTGAATCCTCTCACTGCCCCTGC